GTTAGGAGTTCTTAGGGCCATTACAGTATACAACATTTGATATAAATTGTTCATCACCCTGGGTGTTGCAGATCTAATCAATGTGACTAAATTAGCCGTTTCTTGCATACCATTCGATACATGCTGTGTTTTCATACCCTTTGCACCATGTGGATACTGAAGATGTTTTTAGGTATATAAAATGAGAGGTATTCCAAGATTTATATATTCTTTGTTTCCATCCATTTGCAACAAACTGGTTATAAGAGGAAATGACTTATATAATCTGAGTTCACAGGCTCTGCACCTGTCTGAGAGGTACCACCACCTCTATTTATATATCCTTGACTTCTTTTCATTTGCATAATCTATGGGTGTGAAGCTTGGGCTGTAAATGCTGCAGCGAGAAGATGATGTCCTGTCTAAGGGCAATGTGTGGTGTAAATATTATGCAGAAAATTTGGAGTGTGGAAATTAGGAGAAGGTGTGGAGTTAATAAAAGTATTAGTCAGAGGGCTGAAGAGGGGTTGTTGAGGTGGTTTGGTTTTTTAAAGAGAATGGATCAAAGTAGAATGACATGGAGAGCATATAAATCTGTAGGGGAAGGAAGGCGGGGTAGGAGTCGTCCTTGAAAAGGTTGGAGGGAGGGGGGTAAAGGAGGTTTTGTGGGTGAGGGGCTTGGACTTCCACCAACCGCGCATGAGCATGTTTGATAGGAGTGAATGGAGATGAATGGTATTTGGGACCTGACGAGCTGTTGGAGTGTGAGCAGGGTAATATTTAGTGAAGGGGTTCAGGGAAACCGGTTGTTTTATTTAGCCGGACTTGAGTCCTGGAAATGGGAAGTACAATACCTGCACTTTAAAGGAGGGGTTTAGGATATTGGCAGTTTGGAGGGATATGTTGTGTATCTTTATACGTATATGCTTCTAAACTGTTGTGTTCTGAGCACCTCTGCAAAAACAGTGATTATGTGTGAGTGAGGTGAAAGTGTTGAATGATGAAAGTTTTTTCTTTTTGGGGATTTTTTCTTTCTTTTTGGGTCACCCTGCCTCGGTGGGAGACGGCCGACTTGTTAAAAAAAAAAAAAAAAAAAAAAAATGAGAGGAACCTGGATATAATGGTTATACTGTATCTTTTTTTTTTTTTTTTTTTCAACAAGTCGGTCGTCTCCCACCGAGGCAATGTACATCAATTTAGTTGATGAACTCCATTTTTTGATAAAGGATGGGTGAGGAGCATTGCCAATGTTTACATCTGCTCATGCCTCCTTCTATCTATTCCTGCCACCCCTCTGCCCCTTCCAACTCTTATTTCTATCAATGAAAATGTGTATAGGAAATAATATTGTAGTTTAATTTTTTATTTAAACATTTATGAAGGGATTCAGGATAAACCAGCTATCTGTACACAAGTCCTGGAGGTGGAAAGTAAAGTGCTTGCATTTTGAAGGAGGTTGTTGCAATTCAGAGGATGATCTGAACTGTAAAGGCACCATGCTTCTGGCAAGACAGTGATGTCTGCCTGAAATGCTCAGGCATGTTAGTGGCTTTCTTTGTACTTAACATTTTATAAAAGTAAATCACACACTAACCTTTGCAAAGAAATAATAATTGTATTGTACTGTATCAAATGAATGAGAGAGAAGTGGATTTTTCTTTTTTGGTCACTACCTTGGTGGGAGATGTTGGCATTATAAAAAAATTACTAGTGCCTAACTGAAAGATGGTACAGAACAGACTAAATTTGAAAGCAGGTGCTGATACCTAATTCTGAATGATGGTACAGAATTTACTGAATTTGAGAACAGGAGCTTTCTCTGAACAATGGTACAAAATGCAGCAAAAGAAATAAGGAAACATGAGCAGCAGCAGCAGCATTAGAAGTAAAATCAAGGGTAGTTGTAACAAGATAGTATAAGGAAAATGAAAACTTTCGTTATAATAGAAAAAAAATAAACTAAGTGTGGTTCATTAACTTTAGAAGTTTGTATCTACTCAAAAAATTTTTAAATACATTTACCTGATTTCTTAAAAATTTATTAATTAATGTGCAGTGTTCATCATTAACCCTTTCACTGTCCAGACAAACTTGTCCACTAAGTCCATGAAATTTTTTCTTATCAAATGGTAGAGAATCTTTTTCTGGAGGTAATAAAACGAAGTACAAAATTTGACGGAAAACTGAAGAAATTATGCTTTCATGAATTATGTCGTGTCAGCAATATTTATGCATCGGTGGTTCTGTCCATTTTGAGTCCTATTTTAGGCTGATTACACTGTTCCAGTAGACCAAATTTTTAGCTATTTCACTAGTATGTCTTCCATTTTATTGACTCGCCACAAGAGATCGTGTAATCAACTATTTCAACTACTCAATAAAGTGATCAGATATTGGTAATTTGGCTAATTACACACAAATTTCAAAATAGGATTTAGAATAAACAATGCAGGCATTCCTGGCACTAAAATAACATTTCCTCTGTTCATCAGTAATATTCCCAGGCTTTACACATGAATTCCATTTTGATTTTTTATTCACACACAAAAAATAGAAGATTTACTGTTGTGCAATACTGTAATAATTGTATAAATAACATCAGTGCATTTGCGAATGCATATCCGACCCACCAGTTGACGTGTATTGGATGCATGACATGATTTATTACTCTTGAACACTGGCAAAAACTTAACATTTCTGCTATATTGAACTCAATATCAAGTTATTTTCAGCCCTAAAACCAATCAAAATCATCTCTGTCTGTAACGTATCTTCCATTCTATCAAATGAGACCAAGAAATCGAGAATACACTGCAAAGTCATTGTTTTAAACCAAAAACATGGTCACCGTTTTTTCCCTCATTATGCACTCCGTGCTGCAGGATTTTTTTTTATGTGGTGCATACTTATCACAGATTCATTCTCTCACATCCAGGCCCAAATTTACTGCTCACAGCTTATCTGAGTGAGCTGAGCTAATGGCATAGTACTACGGCACTGACAGTGACCGCAAAGCCATAGTACTATGGCACAGTCAGTGAAAGGGTTAAAGTATACTGGGTGGAAGGCACTCAATGTAATTTAATGTCAAAATGAGTATCCTACCTTGGCACATTTGTTGACAAGACAAAAAGCTAATACTGTCCTGGCAACCAAAAGGGGGATGTCTCAGGATGCCCTATGGCTGGCTGCATCATCAGTGCCTTCTAGTCTAGGGTTGTGTGGTGGATGGTTTTGTGTCCACGGTACCCCTGCCCCATGTGGTTTTGAGGGCCAAGTTTGCCAAGATATTTTTAGTTATTGATGAATTAATGTGGACAGGAATAAGTCACTGACAAAGAGAATTGCAGAGATTGTTGGACTACATAATGTATGCCATTAAATGAAGGGAACAGTAGAAGCCAGTGATGTGTAGAAGTGTCCAACGAGACCTGGTAGCGTTGGTTCCACGAGGACAGTATTGAGGATATGCCCAATATCAGAAGCACTAGAGAAACATCCCCACTAATGTTGATAATAATAATGTATCTAGACTGGATCTGTTATCATTTGCCTGAATCTTTCCGTGTGGTACAAGATTTCATGCAAAAGTGTGCTCCTTGCCACACTGCAAAATCTGTTTTTCAATGACTCTGTGACTGGGGGTACCCTTCTTCAATGACTGGCCAGGAAACTCATCAGACTTGAACCCCAATGAGAACCTATGGGCTGAGACAAGAGAGATCTACAAAGGCAAGGAAATCAACTCATTTCCATGGGTTTAGGATGTCATCTGTGAGCTATGGGGGAATATACTCCCTGAAACCCTGAAGAAAGTGTGTTAATCACTTCCTAGACGGTTGAAGGACATCCTAAAGTGCAAGGAATAACCAATTCTGTGGTCATGATTTTAGAGGGAGCCAGCATACTTTAATGACAAGCACTGTATATCAATTATCACCAAATATAATGCTGCTTTGGAAATTGTCCTTCAATCCTTGTCAACTTTGTCCTTAAACATTTTTAATTAACAGGTATGACATTCTGTACCATCAAGCTGGTTAATGTCATAACATTGAAGCTAATAAAACACTATACAGGTTGTTAAAATAATGGTATACCATAGATTGCTTTTAAGCACACCAAAGTTCTTGAGGCAGAAATAGTGCTAGGAACATGAAAACAATTGGTGCAAGAAGCATATATTAATATGATATAAAAGGCATGTTTTGTCAATAACTAATACTTTAAATGCAATCCCTCAAATATTTTATCATTTATCAGTGCAGAATAGTAGATGGAAATGCAAGAATTTAGGTACATGCTGCATTTCCCAATGAAAACTTTGCAAAATGCAAATTCATTCAACGTCAGAAGTTCTTTAAAATAATTTTAAGTTGCTTCGATACAATTACAGTACCAGAAGTCTAAGTTTATTAGAATAGTCACTTTTAAGAGATATTAGTGTCCTGTTTGTTATGCACAACTGGAAATTTTGACTCTGAGAAAGGAAAAGAAAAATATTTTACAACATTCAGACTCAACAGCGCATTCAGTAAACATGACAGTGTGACTGAAATTAGAATGAAATTATAAACTGATAGGCAGGCAGGAAATCTACCCATCATTTTAAGAGGTTATTTAAAATATTTTAAATGAACTGGATGCCAAATCAGAGTTCAGATTTAAAGTTAGCATGGGATAACCACTGGGTCACGAAAATTTTGAAATGTACTAATACACAACAATGAATAAAAATGATAAAATACGCTTAAAGCTGTATTGACACAAGCACGAGTTAATTTTATGCAATTTTTTTGTAAAATGGGAAATATAAGAAATAGGAATATTTTGAACATGCCTTGTATATACATTTTTTACTGAATGTAGCAAGGTAAATAAAATACAATTAACTTTTTAGTGTCAGGTTCAAGGAACATTATTACACAGGATTCTACTTGGTCCTCCTTACAAATTACTTTTGTACTTTTACATTAATATATGATTATAGTATTTTGTAAACTATACCACGATATACTTACCACAGAAGCTGAGCATAACAGGCAAGAATATCAAACCATGCGCAGCACCAAACAGTACGATGCCAAGATACATGCGGAAGTAGAAAACTTTGAAGATTTTCGAGTGAGCAAAGGCTAAGACAATGATGCCTCCAAATTTTGTGAATGTGATGCCTGACAGTACCTAAAAAAGAAAAAAATATAAGCAAACTCATATTTATCTTCTGTACTTCATCCTTTTTCAGTAAATGTATCCAATCATACTAATATACAGTATATCAAATCACCCTCCATAAATGGAAGGGTTATTTGATATTAAATTTTCAAGCAATATGTGAATTTTTTCATACAGCATATATGTATATGTGCAATGTGCATATATGTATCAATGTATAAGCCTACTGAGTATACCTGGTAGTGTATGGTAGGGTTATTATTGAAAGAATCAGAGGTAAGATGGAGAGCAGGATTACAGATAAACAAGGAAGCTTAAGGTAGGGGATACCTGGAGTTTACCTGGAGAGGGTTTCAGGGGTCAACGTCCCCACAGCACGGTCTGAGACCAAGTGTTGAAGCATACAAGTGAACAATATTCAGATAAAGGTAGGGAAGTTTTCATTGCTTTTATGGATTTAGAAAAGGATTATGACAGGGTGAATAGAGAAGAAATTTGGCAGATGTTGCAAGTGTATGGTGGCAAGTCACTACATGCTGTAAAGTTTCTACGAGGATAGTGAAGCTCAGGTTAGGCTGTGTAAGAAAGAGGGAGATTACTCTCCAGTAAAAGTAGGCCCTAAATAGTGATGGGTAATGTCACTGTGGTTGTTTAACATCTATAGATGGGGATTTCTTCTTCTCTTTTTTAGTAAATGTATACAGGAGAAGGGGTTACTAGCCCATTGCTCCCGGCATTTTAGTCGCCTCATACGACACGCATGGCTTACGGAGGAAAGATTCTTTTCCACTTCCCCATGGACAATAGAAGAAATAAAAAGGACAAGAGCTATTTAGAAAAAGGGAGAAAAACCTAGATGTATGTACATATATATATGCATGTGCGTGTCTGTGAAGTGTGACCAAAGTGTAAGTAGGAGTAGCAAGATATCCCTGTTATCTAGCGTGTTTATGAGACAGAAAAAGAAACCAGCAATCCTACCATCATGCAAAACAGTTACAGGTTTTTGTTTCACAGTCATCTGGCAGGACGGTAGTACTTCCCTGGGTGGTTGCTGTCTACCAACCTACACTCTGAAGGAGGGGTGTTAATGTTGCAGTTTAAAAACTGTAGTGTAAAGCACCCTTCTGGCAAGACAGTGATGGAGTGAATGATGGTGAAAGTTTTTCTTTTTCGGGCCACCCTGCCTTGGTGGGAATCGGCCAGTGTGATAATAAAAAAAATAAAAAAATAGATGGGGATGTAAAAGAAGTAAATGCTATGGTGTTGGGGAGAGGGGTGGGATTAAATTACGTGGATTCAAATACAAAATGGGATTTGACACAGTTAATTTTTACTGATGATACTGTGCTTTTTGGAGATTCTGAAAAGAAGTGGCCAAGGTTAGTGGAAGAGTTTGGGAGGGTGTGTAAAGGAAGAAAGTTGAAAGAACATGGATAAGAGTAAGGTGATCAGGGTATCAAATGATTTATATAAGGAAAAATTAGATATTAGATTAGAAGGATGGAATATGGAAGAAGTGAATATGTTCAGATATTTGGGAGTAGATTCGTTGGCAGATGGGTTTCTGAAGGATGAACCTAACCATAGAACTGATGAAGGTAAAAAGGTGGGGGCTGCACTGAGGTATCTGTGGAGACAAAGAACATTATCCATGGAGGTGAAGAAGGGAATGTTGAGTATAGTGGTACCAACACTCTTATGTGGGTGTGAAGCAGGGGTTGTAAATGTTGCAGTAAGGAGGAGGCTGGAGGCAGTGGAGATATGTCTAAGGGTAATGTGTGGCATAAATATTTTGCAGAGAATTCTTAGTGTGGAAATTAGGAGATGTGGAGCTACTAAAAATATTATTCAGAGGGCTGAGGAGGGGTTGTTGAGGTGGTTTGGTTATTTAGAAAGGATGGAGCAAAATAGGTTGACATGAAGGGTGTATAAATCTGTAGTAAAGGGAGGAGTGGTAGGGGCCGTCCTAGAAAAGGATGGAGGGAGGGGGTAAAAGAGGTTTTTGTGTGCAAGGGACTTGGACATACAGCAGATGTGTGAGCATGTTAGATAGGAGTGAACAGAGACAAATGGTTTTTGGGACTTAACAAGCTGTTAGTGTGAGCAGGATAATATTTTGTGAAGGGATTCAGGGAAACCTGTTAGCTGGACTTGAGTCCTGGAGGTGGGAAGTACAATGCCAGCACTTTTGGATATGTGCCGTTTGGAGTGACATCTGAAATGTCATATCTGCACATCTCTGCAAAGACGGTGATTATGTGTGGATGTTGATGAAAGTGGGAGACTGACAGCATGTTAAAAAAAAAAGTGTGAATACATATGGATGTACATTTTTTAACGTACCAGCATCAGAGTAAGGTGACCTGAGAAAGGGAAAACTTTCACTACTATTCATTCCATCACTGTCTTGCCAGAAATGTGCTGACTTAACAGTTCATATGACCCACCGAACTGCAACTTCTCCACTCTACCTTCAGATTGAAGGCACAATGCTTCTGATCTCCAGAACTCGTCCTGCTAACTGGTTTCCCTGAATCCCTTCATAAATGTTACCTTGCTCACACTCCAACAGAATGTGAAATCATAAAAACAACTCACCTTGACTCTTACCTAATAAGAAGACAAGCCTGTTGGATGTCCAAGCCCCTAACACACAAAACTTCCTATACCCCCCTCCCACCAACCTTTCCTAGGATGACCCATACCACTCCTTCCCTCCATTCCAGATATGTGCCTTCTAGTAATCTTATTTTGCTCCGTCTGTAAATGTCCCAACTACCTCAACAGCCCCTCTAGCCCTCTGAATAACACTTTTGGCAACCCCACATAAGCTTTTAATCTCCAAGCTCAATTCTTTGCATAATATTCACACCACATATTGCCCTCAAACATGATATTGCCACCACCTCTAGCCTCCTCCTCGCTTCAACGTTTAACCCTTAAACTGTCCAAACGTAGATCTACATTCACTTGCATGGCACACCAAATATTTTGAAAAATGAAAAAATCGTTTTTTTCTTTTAAAATGAAGAGCACATTTTTCTACATGTTACAGGATTAAAAAAAAAAAAATTAGGGTCAGTAATTACAGAGATATAAGATCATGAAGTTGGCTCTGGATGCTCACCTGTCGGCAACACTTACTCCTGCCACTTGCAGAAGTGTTGCCAATATACCTTTTTCTCGTTTTTATTTTAATTTATATACTTTTTACGTTCTGATAATTACAATTTATAACAGTTCTTGTAATTTCATAGCCAATCTTTGTTCTGACACTAATATTAGGTACCGAAATAGTACAGTGGACCCCCTCATACTCTTGGCATCACATAACGTTAAATCCACATACCGCTACATTTTATCACCAAGATTTTGCCTCGCATACCGCTAAAAAACCCGCTCAACGCTGTTCGTCCAAGACGCGTCTAATGTGCGCCCTTACCCAGCCTCACATGTTCCGCCGGTGGCATTGTTTACCAGCCAGCCTCTGCGGTAACATCCAAGCATACAATCGGAACATTTCGTATTATTACAGTGTTTCTGGTGATTTTATCTGCAAAATAAGTGACCATGGGCCCCAAGAAAGCTTCTAGTGCCAACCCTACAGGAATAAGGGTGAGAATTACTATAGAGATGAAGAAAGAGATCACTGATAAGTACGAAAGTGGAGTGCGTGTCTCCGAGCTGGCCAGGTTGTATAGTAAACCCCAATCAACCATTGCTACTATTGTGGGCAACAAAAAGGCAATCAAGGAAGCTGTTCTTGCCAAAGGTTTAACTGTATTTTCGAAACAGAGATCGCAAGTGATGGAAGATGTTGAGAGACTGTTATTGGTGTGGATAAATGAGAAACAGATAGCAGGAGATAGCATCTCTCAAGTGATCATAAGTGAAAAGGCTAGGAAGTTGCATGAGGATTTAATTAAAAAAATGCCTGCAACTAGTGATGATGTGAGTGAATTTAAGGCCAGAGATTTAAGAGGCGTAGTGGCATACATAGTGTGATAAGGCATGGTGAGGCTGCCAGTTCGGACCACAAAGCAGCTGAAAAATATGTGCAGGAATTCAAGGAGTACATAGAAACTGAAGGACTGAAACCTGAACAAGTGTTTAATTGTGATGAAACAGGCCTGTTTTGGAAGAAAATGCCAAGCAGGACCTACATTACTCAGGAGGAAAAGGCACTCCCAGGACATAAGCCTATGAAAGACAGGCTTACTCTGTTGATGTGTTCCAATGCTACTGGTGATTGCAAAGTGAAGCCTTTATTAGTGTATCACTCTGAAACTCCCAGACCGTTCAGGCAAAAGAATGTCCTCAAGGAAAATTTGTGTGCTGTGGAGGGCAAACAGTAAGGCATGGGTCACTAGGGACTTTTTCTATGACTGGTTACACCATGCATTTGCCCCCAATGTGAAAGATTACCTAACTGAAAAGAAATTAGAACTTAAGTGCCTCCTGGTGTTAGACAATGCCCCTGGTCATCCTACAGACGTGGCAGAGCGACTTTATGGGGACATGAAATTCATTAAGGTGAAGTTTTTGCCTCCTAATACCACTCCTCTCCTGCAGCCCATGGACCAGCAGGTTATTGCAAACTTCAAAAAACTGTACACAAAAGCTCTGTTTGAAAGGTGCTTTGTAGTGACCTCAGAAACTCAACTGACTCCAAGAGAGTTTTGGAGAGATCACTTTAATATCCTCAATTGTGTAAACCTTATAGGTAAGGCTTGGGAGGGAGTGAATAAGAGGACCTTGAACTCTGCTTGGAAGAAACTGTGGCCAGAATGTGTAGACCAAAGGGATTTTGAAGGGTTTCAGGCTAACCCTGAGAATCCTATGCCAATTGAGGAATCCATTATGGCATTGGGAAAGTCCTTGGGGTTGGAGGTTAGTGGGGATGATGTGGAAGAGTTGGTGGAGGAGGACAATGAAGAACTAACCACTGATGAGCTGATAGATCAACTTCAACAGCAAGAGGCCAGACTTGAGGAAACTGGTTCGAAGGAGGGGAGAGAGAAATTGAAGAAATTGCCTACTACAAAGATTAAGGAAATCTGTGCAAAGTGGCTTGAAGTGCAAACCTTCATGGATGAAAATCACCCTCACACAGCTATTGCAAGCCGTGCTGGTGACTATTACACTGACAATGTTGTGAAACACTTTAGGGAAGTCATAAAGGAACGAGAGGTACAGGCCACTATGGACAGATATGTTGTGCGACAGAACTCCAGTGACTCTGAAGCTGGTCCTAGTGGCATTAAAAGAAGAAAGGAAGTAACCCCAGAAAAGGACTTGACACCTCAAGTCTTAATGGAAGGGGATTCCCCTTCTAAACACTAACACTCTCTCCTCCTCCCATCCCATCAATCATCACCAGATCTTCAATGAAAGTAAGTGTCATGTAATTGTGCATGCCTTTTTCAGTTTGTGTGTATTAAAATTAATATTTCATGTGGTAAAAATTTTTTTTTCATACTTTGGGGTGTCTTGCACAGATTAATTTGATTTCCATTATTTCTTATGGGGAAAATTCATTCGCATAACGATAATTTCGCATAACAATGAGCTCTCTTGCACGGATTAATATCGCTATGCGGGGGTCCACTGTACTCAAATAGTCATATCACACTGACAGGTGAACATTTACACCTGCTTGGGTTATTTACTTCTGTCTAGAAATATATAAAAGTATTTATAGGTCCCAGCAATGTTTTAGATACCCTGGCATATACCTTGAAGCATGGTGTTATGAAAGGCATCCCTATACTGTTGACAGCCCAGTGACATCTGATAAATGCCCACTGCTCCAGCTAACCCTCGCTGTATTGTTATCACTGTTACACACAAACATGTCTTGTCTCCCTGTCTGTTTATCTGTGTGTCTGTCTGTCTCTGCTTATCTGTCTTTCTGTCTGCCTGCCTGGAATATATGTATATTACAGGCCTTGAAGAATGGTGTTATGACATCTTATCAGCTTGGTGACATTTCATAAATGGGTGCTCGGGGAACCCTGGATTTATTTGTTTCACTGATACACACAAACATGTTTCTGTCTGTCTGTCTATCTTTGCCTGGAATTTTTGGGTTATTCTAGGTAATTTACACTATAACTGTACTTATGTGTACATATGAGACAGATATAGACAGAGAGAGAGCCAAAGCAAGCCAGCCAGCCTGCCGAATACATAAGAACATAAGAAAGAAGGAACGCTGCAGCAGGCCTACTGGCCAATGCAAGGCAGGTACATGTCACCCCCCCCCCCCTGCTTAGACCAATGACCCACCTAGTCAGGTCACATCCAATGAAGGAGCATGACATCAGACTTAGTAGCACAAGCTAGTCAGGTCCAACTCACACCCACCCACACTCACTCGTGTATTTATCTAACCCATTTTTACTTTCCTCTTAAAATGGGAGTGTTAATGCAACATGGCATCAGTGAATCCCTGGTGTTTGCCATGTTATTTGCTCCAGCTGGTGCTCAATTGAACGGTGCTCCCACAAGGTACAAAGTGCTCCCAGATTTTTTTAATAGTACGCACACTGAGTGCACAGACCCATTCTTTCATGTCTAGGAGTCTCAAGCCTATTGTGCCAAATTTGAAGGAATGAAAAATAAAACGTTGTTCTAAGTTTGGAGCACTACTTGTGCCAACGTAGATCTACATTTAGACAGTTTAAGGGTTAAAACATATGCTTCACACTATGCTCTGGTACATTTCCCTTTTTGCATCCATAAATAGAGCTCTGTCTCTACACATGCCTCAATGCACCACGCCACTTTTTTTCCCCCATCAATTCTTTGGTTCACCTCATCTTTCATAGACCCATCCATGAATAAGCCCACAAGTATAATTCAGCAAGTTTTTCAATCAAATTTCATACTTTTAGTGTCAATACCTATAGAAAAATATTCTCTACTCTTCTAGAATTATTTTTTTTTATTATTATCACACTGGCCGATTCCCACCAAGGCAGGGTGGCCCGAAAAAGAAAAACTTTCATCATTCACTCCATCACTGTCTTGACAGAAGGGTGCTTTACACTACAGTTTTTAAACTGCAACATTAACACCCCTCCTTCAGAGTGCAGGCACTGTACTTCCCATCTCCAGGACTCAAGTCCGGCCTGCCGGTTTCCCTGAACCCCTTCATAAATGTTACTTTGCTCACACTCCAACAGCACGTCAAGTATTAAAAACCATTTGTCTCCATTCACTCCTATCAAACACGCTCACGCTTGCCTGCTGGAAGTCCAAGCCCCTCGCACACAAAGCCTCCTTTACCCCCTCCCTCCAACCTTTCCTAGGCCGACCCCTACCCCGCCTTCCTTCCACTACAGACTGATACACTCTTGAAGTCATTCTGTTTCGCTCCATTCTCTCTACATGTCCGAACCACCTCAACAACCCTTCCTCAGCCCTCTGGACAACAGTTTTGGTAATCCCGCACCTCCTCCTAACTTCCAAACTACGAATTCTCTGCATTATATTCACACCACACATTGCCCTCAGACATGGCATCTCCACTGCCTCCAGCCTTCTCCTCGCTGCAACATTCACCACCCATGCTTCACACCCATATAAGAGCGTTGGTAAAACTATACTTTCATACATTCCCCTCTTTGCCTCCAAGGACAAAGTTCTTTGTCTCCACAGACTCCTAAGTGCACCACTCCCCCTTTTTCCCCTCATCAATTCTATGATTCATCTCATCTTTCATAGACCCATCCGCTGACACGTCCACTCCCAAATATCTGAATACATTCACCTCCTCCATACTCTCTCCCTCCAATCTGATATCCAATCTTTCATCACCTAATCTTTTTGTTATCCTCATAACCTTACTCTTTCCTGTATTCACTTTTAATTTTCTTCTTTTGCATACCCTACCAAATTCATCCACCAATCTCTGCAACTTCTCTTCAGAATCTCCAAAGAGCACAGTGTCATCAGCAAAGAGCAACTGTGACAACTCCCACTTTATGCGTGATTCTTTATCTTTTAACTCCACGCCTCTTGCCAAGACCCCGCATTTATTCTCTTACAACCCCATCTATAAATATATTAAACAACCACGATGACATCACACATTCTTGTCTAAGGCCTACTTTTACTGGGAAATAATTTCCCTCTTTCCTACATACTCTAACTTGAGCCTCACTATCCTCGTAAAAACACTTCACTGCTTTCAGTAACCTACCTCCTACACCATACACCTGCAACATCTGCCACATTGCCCCCCTATCCACCCTGTCATATGCCTTTTCCAAATCCATAGATGCCACTAAGACCTCTTTAGCCTTATCTAAATACTGTTCACTTATATGTTTCACTGTAAACACCTGGTCCACACACCCCCTACCTTTCCTAAAGCCTCCTTGTTCATCTGCTATCCTATTCTCCGTCTTACTCTTTCAATAATAACTCTACCATACACTTTACCAGGTATACTCAACAAACTTATCCCTCTATAATTTTTGCACTCTCTTTTGTCCCCATTGCCTTTATACAAAGGAACTATGCATGCTCTCTGCCAATCCCTAGGTACCTTACCCTCTTCCATACATTTATTAAATAATTGCACCAACCACTCCAAAACTATATCCCCACCTGCTTTTAACATTTCTATCTTTATCCCATCAATCCCAGGTGCCTTACCCCTTTTCATTTTACCTACTGCCTCACAAACTTCCCCCACACTCACAACTGGCTCTTCCTCACTCCTACAAGATGTTATTCCTCCTTGCCCTATACACGAAATCACAGCTACCCTATCTTCATCAACATTTAACAATTCCTCAAAATATTCTCTCCATCTTCCCAATACCTCTAACTCTCCATTATACTATATATATATAAAAAAAAAAAATAAAGGCGAATATCGAAAGTGAGTGTTAACATTCTTACTACTATTGGCTATCACTTGAAAATATGAACAAAAATATAACTGAAAACTTTACACTGTATACATGATAATGGAATGTAGCACACATGATACAGTTTATATATTAAGCTCATGAAGACTTTCACTACTTACTGAACTGCCCATAGTAATGAGGGCATCTTTTGCTCGCAGCAGCCGAGTCTCTTCCATGGACAGAGAGAAGGCATGAGTTATGTGACTACAAAACTCCACTGATATGCCAACAGCCTGAAAAATATAGTCTTAAAAAGATATTTTCCCACACTATGGTAACTGGAACTCACTAAGGTTTATTTACCAAGTGTATAAATAATCAGCAGCTTTATTACCATTTACATATTCGGAAAAAAATGATTTATAAATGCAATGCACAAAAATATATAAAATTAAAAAAAAGAATAAAAAATAAAAACCGCATATGCATGCACACATACACACTTTCCCACTGGTGTGGCTGGAAGGGTACCTATACACTGGTGTGGCTTGTTGGGTACCTGTATATTGGTTTGGCTGGTTAAAAAGAACCAAGCCGAGCTAGTAGGTGATGGATGACCAATCTACAAACAACCTCACTATACAGGACTACCAAAAACTTTAATAAGCCACAAGCTTCCAGTGCCTAACAAGGTATTGTACAGTATACTATACCTATCACTCTCTAATATCTCCACATACCATGATTATCATGATTGTTGTACTTTATAGATTGCCTGTCAAGTATAGGCATATGAATGACAAATTAGAAATGGAAAAAATAATGGGTAAAAGAAAATTATAGCGTTCATATGATCAATGCTGTTCCAAACACAGGTCAGTTCAAGGCCACCACAGTCTTTCCCAGAACACTTACCATAACCAAGTTGACGAGCGAAACTGCATTGAGGGAAACATCCCACCAGTACATGAGTCCCCCAAGGTTGACAAGGATCATGATGATGGTAACTATTACTGCTATGGATGAGGCAACATCAAGACCAGACAGGAGGATGCTCACCAACAGCACCGTTACAAGAGAGATGCCAAGGGAAGTCAAAACATCTTCCCACATTGTCAAATATTGCTCGTAGAATACATAGAAAACACTGAAAAACAATAATTAATTAAGATCAGTAACTTAATAGGTAGTAGTTGGTGGACAGTAAACACCCAGGGAGGTACTACCGTCCTGCCTAGTGAGTGTGAAACAAAAACCTGCAATTGTTTTACATGATGGTAGGATTGCTGGTGTCTTTCTTGTCTTAAACACGCAGGATAACGTGTACATTTTGTTACTTCTACTTACACTTAGGTCACACTACACATGCATATATATTTACACACCCATCTGGGGTTTCTTCTATTTTCTTAGTAGTAGTAGTTCTCGTTTATTTCTTATCTCTATGGGGAAGTGGAAAAGAATTCTTCTTCTGTAAGCCGTGCGTGTCCTAATCAGCGACTATAATGCCAGGAGCAAGGGGCTAGTAATCCTGTCTCCTATGTAAATTACTAAATTTAAGAAGAAAAACTTTTGTTCTTTTAAGGTCACCCTGCCTTGGTGGGATACAGCTGGTTCGCTGAAAAAAAAAAAACTAAAATGAGTAGAATCTGATAAAAACTTGTGATTTTATGGGGCACTGAAGTTGGCAAAAATTATCACTAGTCAGCAACAGCATCATTAGTGCACCAGCAATACTTACATTTTACAATTTACTGATACCAAATTATGAGTTTCTTTTGGTTTTATTTTACTCTTTTTAATGTTTAACACTATGTACTCTAGTTTCTCGGGATATTAGATGTGTTTCATGATATAGTATTCAAACATGAGGAAATGCATAGCCTGACACTGCTCCACTTGAATACACAGAATAAATTGGGTTGTGAATATTTGCAGCTAGGAGGCTGGAGGCAGTGGAGATGACTTGTCTGAGGAAAATGTGTGGTGCAAATATTATGCAGAAAATTCACAGCTTGGAGAGTAGGAAGAGGTGCAGAGTTACTAAACGTATTGGTATAAACCTTGGTAATAAATACCGACAAGTTGGTTTAGAAAGACATGTAACGAAACACTAACATGTTAGAAAACGTTTCGGTCCTGGGACCTTGATCACTTCTAACATACAGAGGTAGAAAGACATTATATATATAGGCGGAGAGTGAGGTGTGACGCACGTGACCTGAGGAATGTCATAAGAACATAAGAATGGAGGAACACTGTAGAAGGCCTACTGGCCCATGCGAGGCAGGTCCTTGTTTTGATACAACCTCTACCTATGATGAGGACGGGTAGACGATGAAATCATGCGACTCCTGTGTTGTTGGGTTGGTGCTGCTTAAGTATCATGTATGCCAATGCTTTTGAAATTTTGTAGTTTCCAGTGTTGCGTTCTATAGTGTCGGTGACGGCGATTAGTGAGGCTTCTAGGCACCGTCGGCGTCTGAGGTCTGGTTCAGTGAGAACGAGTTGTGCCTCATTCCAGTTCATCAAATGCCCTGTGGAGTCTCTGTGGAGGACACAGGCGTACCTTACATCGTCTCTGTTAGAGGCATTTCGATGCTCATTCAGGTGGACTGCAAGATCTCTGCCTGTCTCGCCTACATATTTCTTGGGACAGAACCCACAGGGGATAGTGTAGACGCCTGCTGTAGAAGTTAAGAGGTGTGGGGCTGCGTTTCGTAGTGAGGTCTTCGATAGATGGCGTGTTTATGGTGGAAACGTTGATGTTACTCATAGCAAGTGCCCAGCGAGTATTCGTGGCAACATCGCCACATGGGAGTACTATGAACTGCTTAGGGGGCTGTACTATGGGCGGTTTGTTGAGGATAGCTTGTGCCTTGAGTCTGCAATCTCGGATGAAGAAAGATGGGAACTGAAGACGTGTAAAGGCTTGTGTTATGTAAGTGCATTCTTCTTCTAGAAAACAAGGGCTGGAGATGCGAAGAGCTCTCAAGAAGAAGCCAATGAGGACTCCTCTCTTAGTGCGGGTGTCTTGGTGTGAATAAAAGTGTATAAGATGTCCTTGTTGGTAGGTTTTCTATACACTTTGAAGAGAAGTTTGTCACTGTCGGGAGATCTGCACAGTAGAATGTCGAGGAAAGGAAGTTTGCCATCATTTTCGAGTTCAAGTGTAAACTTTATTGATGGTTCAACTGCATTGATCTTGTTGAGAAGGGCCTGGATATTGAGACGTCTCGGATAGAAAACCAATATATCATCAACGTATCTTAGCCAGGTAACGGTGTTGGGAATGAGGGTGCTGAATTTCTGTCTCCAGGTTTTCCATGAAGAGGTTGGCAAGCACAGCACTGAGTGGGCTGCTTATTGCCATCCCAAAGCATTGTTTGTAACAGTTGTCCTGATACTTTAAGAGTTGAAATTAACACAAAGTTCCACTAGATTGATGAAATCTAGAAGAGGTAAAGGGAGGTCGTGGTTTTCAGTGAGCCTCTGCCTCAGAATGTTGATTGCAGCGTCAGTAGGAACGTTGGTAAAGAGGGCTGTGACATCGAAGGAAGCCATGCTTTTTAGAAGTGATCAAGGTCCCAGGACCGAAACGTTTTCTAATAAATATGTTATAGTGTTTGCTTACGTGTCTTCCTAAACCAACTAAAAGTATTATTCAGAGGGCTGAGGAGTGGTTGTTGAGGTAGTTTGGACAGTTAGAGAGGAAGGGTAGAGAAACAGGATGCCTTGAGGGTGTATAAATCTGTAGTGGAGGGAAGGCAGGGTAGGGGGGTTGCCTTAAGAAAGGTTGGAGAGAGGGGGGCAGAGGAGGTTTCAAGTGCAAGGGGACTGAACATCCAACACGCACATTAGATAAGAGTGGAGGCAAGCCTTTATGACTGACTTGCTGTTGGAGTGTGAAAAAGGTAATAATGATGAAGGAATTCAGAAAAATTGGTCAGCCAGACTTAAGTCCTAGAGGTGACAAGTACAGTGCCTGTACTCTGAAGGAGGGGTGGGGGTACTGCAGATTAGAGTGGCATCCGAGCTGTAGAGTCAGCACACCTCTGGCAAGACAGTGGTGGAGTAAGTGATGGCAAAAGTGCTTCTTCCTTTTCAGGTCACCCTACCTCAGTGGGAGATAATTTATTTTAGCAAACTGGCTATCATTATTACACAAACAACCTTCACTTAAGAGACAAACTTAAGACAATATTACGGTCAAATTTGGACCATTAACTAGTCACATAAGTGTGACTTTTAATGGTTCAAAATGGACTGAAATGTTGTCATAAGTTTCAATTTTTTAAGTGTGGATTATTTGTGCATTGTCCTTTTTATTCAATTATTATTATTATTATTATTAATCAAGAAGCGGGGTAGGGGTCGGCCTAGGAAAGGTTGGAGGGAGGGGGTAAAGGAGGTTTTGTGTGCGAGGGGCTTGGACTTACAGCAGGCATGCGTGAACGTGTTTGATAGGAGTGAATGGAGACGAATGGTTTTTAATACTTGACGTGCTGTTGGAGTGTGAGCAAAGTAACATTTATGAAGGGATTCAGGGAAACTGGCAGGCCGGACTTGAGTCCTGGAGATGGGAAGTACAGTGCCTGCACTCTGAAGGAGGGGTGTTAATGTTGCAGTTTAAAAACTGTAGTGTAAAGCACCCTTCTGGCAAGACAGTGATGGAGTGAATGATGGTGAAAGTTTTTCTTTTTTGGGCCACCCTGCCTTGGTGGGAATCGGCCAGTGCGATAATAAAAAAAAAAAAAAAAAAAGAAGCTTTCAAGAAATATAGAATTAGAGAATGTGTTAAAACAAAACCACATCTTTTTTGGCCATGACTGAGGCATTAAACTATCTTAGCATTAGCATCATCACACTTGTCTGTCCTCTAATGCTTATTCAACTTTCATTTCCACATAAATACTTGGAAGTAAAACAATGCAGGAAGTACAACACTGCAGTTACAATAATGTAAATTTACCTGCAAGATTAGTAAATTAGTGGATAGTAAAACGAGATGTAAATTATGCAATGACAAACACAAAGTAGACAAGATCAATATTACCTGTAAGGGAACACTTCATAGCGAGGCTCCTCCAAGCCCTCATTTAGTGCAGTTGTGATGTTCTTTGAAACTTTTCTTGCCCACTCCAGAGCCATGTAATAGTCATTTGATTTCTTTAGAATGGTGTGGTACGTCATGAAGTAATTGGCTCCAACACTCGTCTGAGATATAAACAATAAATATGGACAAGAATAATTATTAGTATTAATAAGTATTAGTCAGAGGGCAGAAGAGGGGTTGTTGAGGTGGTTTGGTCATTTAGAGAGAATGGATCAAAGTAGAATGACATGGAAAGCATATAAATCTATAGGGAAAGGAAGGCGGGGTAGGGGTCGTCCTCGAAAGGGTTGGAGAGAGGGGGTAAAGGAGGTTTTGTGGGCAAGGGGCTTGGACTTCCAGCAAGCGTGCGTGAGCGTGTTAGATAGGAGTGAATGGAGACGAATGGTACTTGGGACCTGACGATCTGTTGGAGTGTGAGCAGGGTAATATTTAGTGAAGGGATTCAGGGAAACCGGTTATTTTCATATAGTCGGACTTGAGTCCTGGAAATGGGAAGTACAATGCCTGCACTTTAAAGGAGGGGTTTGGGATATTGGCAGTTTGGAGGGATATGTTGTGTATCTTTATATGTGTATGCTTCTAAACCGTTGTATTCTGAGCACCTCTGCAAAAACAGTGATAATGTGCGAGTGAGGTGAAAGTGTTGAATGATGAAAGTTTTTTCTTTTTGGGTCACCCTGCCTCGGTGGGAGACGGCCGACTTGTTGAAAAAAAAAAAAAAAAAAAAAAAAAAAAGAATAATTACTGTATTTATGTATTAGTACTGTATATAAAGTTATATTTTTTTCTTTTTAACACACTGGCAGTCTCATTATATGCATCAGGTTTTTACTTTTTCTGTGATTATGTATCTGCAATTAAAGGCACAGAACTTTAATTATAGTAAACCCTCAATTTAATGCATTAATAGGGGACAGCAGGTGGGTGATGATGGTGAGAGTGGTGAAGAGATTAGAAATAGATTAGACAATTGTGCAAGCAACAAACTTACTCTGTTATTTCTCAATCAAATGACAAAGAATTCTGTCATGAATTTCTGAAGTTCATTAAATCAAGGATATTCTGTACCTATTTCTTGCTGCTTTCCCTGATAGAGCCTATCAAGGACAGGTTCTCTATCCCTTCACACTATTAATACACTGGTGAATTTTGCATGCTGTAATTATATCCCCTCTATTAGTTTCTTCCGTCAGTGATGCAAGGCCCGGGTCTGGCATTTTTCTAAATATCACATCTCCTCAGTTTGAACATCAGTTTTGATGCACTCCTTTGTACTATCATGAATTTTACCTCAATGTTTTACTAGACAAGGGTTCCCTACCAGTACTGCAAGCTCAAGAATGATTTGACATGAGATAAATTGTCTTGAACACCATATATACACGCAGTCAAGTACAATATCTTTTAATATTATTTCTTTTATCACTTAATGAAATATACAGTATAAATAAATTTTAATATTTATAGCTCCTGAAGAGAAGCATCTTTAAAATTACCTCATTATGAGCATCTGGGGCAATATTTACAGCTTGACCATATGCTGCATGCCCACCCTTTGGGCATGATTCAGAGGGAATATCTTCTAAGAAGAAGGGCAAGTACTTCATAAAGGTGACAGGATCTGGCCGAAGTCCATCCTACAGGAAAAAAAAAATGTATAGTCAGCAACCTTATACTATGTTAAAGTAGGGTTTAAATTACAACAAATTTGGTATATATAAATCAAACAGTAAAACATTTGTAACTATACTGTGCATACATATACAACCCCATCCCTCTCCCTTGCACCTTTCTATTATTGTCTTTCAAAGATGATGTATAATGTCCGATTCTCAACATTATATGGAGTTAAACTACTGCCACAACATTTGAGTGCTTCCAGCAAGTCTGGTTTTATTATTTTGCAGATCATCATTTTGACAACAATATGACTTTCTGCAAGATGAATTCCTCTCACATATTTGCACTGCAATTATTGTCCCAAGATGGGTACCCAGGGACCAATTTTTACTTTTATGTAAGCCTAGGAAAAAAAAAAAAGACCCCACCACAAATGAGTACTGAATGTCTCCAGTTTTCATAAAGTTGCTTATGCTCAGGCTAAATTCCATTTTATTCTCAGGCTAAATTCCATTAACACATCTGATTACCCTTGAAATCTAGCCAAATCTTCTTGCAGTCTTCTCTCATCCTCTTCAGCTTGTATTCTCATTAAATTGGAATCTCAAACAAGGCAATGCAGGAGATAATTGCTGTAATGAGGTCATTAATATACATGAAGAATCAGGAACAGTGAGGCCCAACATTGAGCAATGTGGAACTCCACATGTTGCTCTCCCATCCTGAAGCTTCATCACTACAGTCATTGTTTCTATTTGTTTGAATATCCCCTTAACCATGCTAATACATTTGTTTCTACAATGGCTTACTTCTACAATTTGCTAAGTAGCTTCTATGTGGCAATGTTAAAAGCTTCTTAATAGCTTAAGAATATGCAGTCCATCCTGTGAGCATGAACAAGTCCTTGCCCAAGTAAAAAACTGGTTCCTAAATCTTATTTTTATTAAGATACAAAAGTTTTTCAAATCTTAGTCAATAGAAACACACACACTCAAGATATCGTATGGAAAGGAAACAGCAATCACCTCACCACAAGAAATGCTAGGAATACCTAATAATTAATTAATTACAACAAAATTACCATGCTATACCTCCATAACTTTTATATTACAGTTCTGACAGGGTGACTCATAATCAGTGGATGGACAGAAGGAGCCATCATTCTTGATGCGGCAGCATGGAACACCCGCACTTCCCTCTTGCATGTTATACAGAGACCAGTCCATGTAATCATCAAGCCATGATGATGCTGGCTGAGCAATGTAAGTTCTGCAAAGAAAAACTTATCAACCTTGAAGACTTTTTTTTTTTTTTTTATTATTATTTTACCTCAACAGCATCTCTCATCAAGAAAAAATGCATTTATCATCATTCATTCAATCACTGTCTTGCCAGAAGTGAACTGACATCACAATTCTGAATTATCCTTCAACTGCAACATACCCCCCATTCTCCTTCAGAATGCAGGCACTACCCTTTCCACCTCTAAGTAGAAATTAGAGAATGTACTGTGTACCAGTTTCAGCATACCTGACTGAGAAATAGTGCATGGAGTAAAAAACATATGACAAGGGAACTAAATTAACTTAATACAAGGACGAATACAGAAACATGGAAAGGGTCCTGAAAAAACTATACAATGGTGGCTGCAGAAACAGCACTGGAGCAGACACATTTCCAAAATGTATGAAAGACAGGAACAAATATTCTGTATCAAAGGACTAAATTTATTTAATAACAGTAAAATAATGCAGCGAATGTTCGAATACTGAAACAACATGGGACAGAGCCTTGACTAAATAGAGGGCCATCTAGTTGAGTGTTATGGGGTCAGGGTCTTTTTTTTATTAGTATTGAGCATTTTCATAAATACATCAGTACTTATCCAAAAACAAATAAGGAAAAAAAATTGAAAATCTTTCATTCCACAACCTCAACAAAATTTTACAAAAAAATAATAACTTATCATGCAAGTGGCAAGACAAAAGCCTGGGCCAGGACTTAGGACTTGACCCCTGCAAACACATACAGGGTGCTTTATGCAAAATATGTCAAGTCCGTCTCTGAATATGCAGCACCAATGTGGAGCATTTTAGTCAGCATGACTGTGGTCTATATGTTTTTCCATACACTACAGCCTCTCCTCACTTAGCAATGTACTCATTTATCGAGGCCTCAGACTTACGACAGACTCTCTGACCAGTATTCGTGCCTAAATATTTATTAGAGCTAATTTCCTTTATTCTGTTTATTTCAATAAACAGTCCACTACTGTATAAACATTTAAAAATATACCAGAAATGTTATAAATAGTGCAAAGGTGACATTAAAACAATATCAAAGATGGCTGACACAAACTCACTACCATTATAGTATGCTCCTCACTTAGCAACGAATTCGTTTAACGGCGTGGTCTTAGGAACGAAACTCCGTTGTTAAGAGAGGAGAGGCTGTATTAAGTAAGAGTCATGTTATCTGGCAATTATCATTTCCTAAACAATAAATCAAGCCAAACCAATGCCTAAATCCAATTTCAATGGTATAGGACCAAGAAGCAACACTAAAAAAATTATTATTTAACTATAAGAAAAACATTCCAGATACAGACACAGTTTAAAAATGTATATTCATAATGAATGTGTTCAGATATTTGGGAGTGGATGTGTCAGCGGATAGGTCTATGAAAGATGAGATGAATCATAGAATTGATGAGGGGAAAAGGGTGAGTGGTGCACTTAGGAGTCTGTGGAGACAAAGAACTTTGTCCTTGGAGGCAAAGAGGGAAATGTATGAGAGTATAGTTTTACCAACGCTCTTATACATGTATAGGTGTGAAGCATGGGTGATGAATGTTGCAGCGAGGAGAAGGCTGGAGGCAGTGGAGATGCCATGTCTGAGGGCAATGTGTGGTGTGAATATAATGCAGAGAATTCGTACTTTGGAAGGTAGGAGGAGGTGCGGGATTACCAAAACTGTTGTCCAGAGGGCTGAGGAAGGGTTGTTGAGGTGGTTCGGACATGTAGAGAGAATGGAGCGAAACAGAGTGACTTCAAGAGTGTATCAGTCTGTAGTGGAAGGAAGGCGGGGTAGGGGTCGGCCTAGGAAAGGTTGGAGGGAGGGGGTAAAGGAGGTTTTGTGTGCGAGGGGCTTGGACTTACAGCAGGCATGCATGAACGTGTTTGATAGGAGTGAATGGAGACAAATGGTTTTTAATACTTGACGTGCTGTTGGAGTGTGAGCAAAGTAACATTTATGAATGGGTTCAGGGAAACCGGCAGGCCGGACTTGAGTCCAGGAGATGGGAAGTACAGTGCCTGCACTCTGAAGGAGGGGTGTTAATGTTGCAGTTTAAAAACTGTAGTGTAAAGCACCCTTCTGGCAAGACAGTGATGGAGTGAATGATGGTGAAAGTTTTTCTTTTTCGGGCCACCCTGCCTTGGTGGGAATCGGCCAGTGAGATGATAATAACAATAATAAAAATTCATAATATGCACAGGAAGTGAAATAGCTTTAAAAAAGTTTTGACCAATAACATATTCAATATCAGTTATAATCATAAACAGTTAATCATCATACCTATTGGAGACAAGTGAAGATATATATACTTGGGTTGACAAGCTGTCTGAATTACAGTCGACTGTGCCACATATCTTATTTTGCTCAGAGAAGTTGCTGAAGTTGATGCCACCCTTGAGGACAAAGTACAGTGGTGGTCCCACACTTAGGTACTTACCCAGATACTGAAATTTATTTTACAACTACAATATGACCAATGAATCACTTCCTACTAACCCACTCAAGTGCAAGTGCAATCTCTTTTATGCAATTCAACGTAAGCATAACTGAACATACTCTGGTGATATCCCTCTTTTCCACCCACTTCCTTCACTGCTGCCTTTGTTACTAGGTCTCTTTTCTAAAACTTGTTACTTAAACTTACACTCGCTCTTTGCTAACTCTTCCCTGCCTTCTCAATACAGAGTGAACAGCTTAAATCATTCCAAATGATACCCAAAATCCTTCCGACTAAATATTCCTCCTACTGATTGTTCCTTTTTTTTTTTTTTTAATTATCATGGAGAAAATGAGGATTCATTCCAAGATGAATATATTAAGACAACACAACAACCTTGCATTCTGCTCTTTTATGACTTAAGTAAAATTACACAAGTAATATAATAGATATTACAGTACTGCAAGAGAAGACTGATTTTTTCATTTCACTAATAAACTTTTTTTTACCAAGTTTTTTAAATATATGCATATCTCAAACATTTTATAGTCACAAAATTCTAATTTAATATCATTACTGTGCAGCTTAAAAATGAATTGGTCATATTACAAGGAAGTACATCAAGAAGAGCAAGCTTTAAGTGCCAGTACAGCATTAGATACAATGAGTTTACTCTAGAAAATTTTTTATTATGCAGCTCTTGTATTACAACTGGAATCTCATTTTTTTTTAACAATGGCTACTTCCCACCAATGTAATCATCACTCAGGTCTCTAGCTCTCTTTCCACAAGTTTACTGATATCAATGTAATCACAAATAAAAAATGCATTAATCTATACTATGTACATGGTGGCTTTAGTGTAATGTATGTTGTATAATAAAATTGAAAACAGCATATTAATAAAAAATGCATGTAAATAAGAATACAAAGATATCTCATATCGTAGTGGTATAAAGAATGATCAGTTTTCATGGATTAATGGAGGTAGAAGAGGAAGGGTGGGATGGAGGCAGAAGAGAAAGAGCAGGTGGAGGCAGAGAATGTGTAGGAGTCTTGGAAAGGGAGGATATACAGTGGACCCCCGCATAACGATCACCTCCGAATGCGACCAATTATGTAAGTGCGTTTGTACGTGTATGTTTGGGGGTCTGAAATGGACTAATCTACTTCACAATATTCCTTATGGGAACAAATTCGGTCAGTACTGGCACCTGAACATACTTCTGAAGTGAAAAAATATCGTTAACTGGGGGTCCACTGTATAGTAAACATGTTCTTTCAATACACAGTTAAAAAAAACGAGAAAGCAAAGCATGTCACCTCAAAATACTTCTGAAGGTATGAGTCATCTGGCATGGAAAGCTCTTGATCAAGACCAATCATAATCTTGGGTAAAACAGCAATACTAGAACATAGCCAACCAGCAAACACAATCATCACAATTGGTCGAGCCACACGAGAGAGAAGAGCTGGGGCGTACACATGCTTGAACAACTTGTGTAGAAGTTTTTCTCGTGAGTCTGACTCCTTGTCAGAGCCTTTTATGCAACACAGAATATCATATCTGTTTTCCTGTCAAAAATTTACTTTGTTTATAGTATTTAATTTTTTCTGCATACTAAAGTAATGAAAAGTTATTCCTAAAACTACCTACAAAGAGTTTGCCAACATTCTGACAGAGCAGGTCTTTTGTGTCTCATAAAATTTTCTTGATGGTATTAGCAAACACCTTACTCATCCTTCAGAGTGCAAGCACTGTACTTCCCACCTCTAAAATCTAGCTAAAAAATTCCCAAAATCCCTTCATTAATATTAATTTGTTCCCACAATAACAATTTCCTTTAAAATGCTGTACTGTCTTCATAACTTTTATGCACCCTGGAAAGAAGCCTGAAACTTGCACAGCTTAATCCCCAGTATATATCTACATGGGTATCTACCATATGTCTAATATGTAATGGGAAACAAAAATATATACAGCAGTATATGAATGTTCTTGCTCTAAAAAGAAAACATTAATTTCATACCTATCATTCCTGATTTAAAAAAAATTAGTTGAGCCATGTGTCCAACAATGGTTCACAGGTAAAATGCTATAATAACTTTCAAGGAATTTTACAAAATGTTCCAGTTGCACCCCTTAAGTAGAGTAAGCATCATAAATATGCATGCGAATAAACAGATCACACAGAAAATGAGACCTCTCACCATAACCTACTGTTTAAGAAATAAAATATTGAAATATTTATGGGTTCTTCACCTAAACTTTTATGTATTTTGTAAGATTACCTTTCCTCTTGATGCACAGTCTCCTTGGCACTGATAAGGCTAACTTAACTGAGCCAAACAGCAATGCTGTGCATGGCAAAGAACTACACACTCAACTTCAAAAAGGAACAGTTAAATTTACCTGCATCCCAAAACAACTATGTACAACTGAGGAACTACGTGCTTGAATCCACTGAAGAATTGTAAACAGAGCTAAACTAGACCCCCTTTTAAAATCAAGCTTCAAGAAAATAAAAAGTGGCTTCTCTACTGAAAACCTGCTGTAAATCCTCACAACTACCACCTTGTACATAAGCTGCTTTTCTTGCGATCCTGCCTTGCAAGCATAATTTTGCCAGCAAGCTCAGCCTGTTACTCTGCTCTTCTACATCTGTCATATAATGCTCTGCTGCTGGGTAGAGCCCCCAACTCTTTTTCTACAATTGAAGACATTCCTCTCCAGAGATATTCTTCGCCTGTCTCAACCCCCCCCCCCCCACCCCACCCCTTATGGGTCTAACCTTTGAGTCAAGTCTAAGGCCAACTTGAAGAGGATAGAAGAGTCCATGCCATAAAGCTTATATTTAATAAGGTTCCAAATGTTCTCTATCAGATTTAAGTCCCTTGAGATTTCAGTCCAGTCATTAAAGCATGGTAAATCACAATCATTTAGCCAATTCTTTATATCTCACGATATCATAATGACACGACTGCAAACAAACCATGGAATGGGTGGTGTTTGAACCCATGGCAAGCGATTCCCAAGACTCCAGGCCAGTGCAAAAGCCTCTCGGCAGGCTGGCTCTAACAAGATTCACCCAACTGGGTATATTACTATACACCATAGGGAAGTTAGCTGATTGAGTGGTTTATGTACTGGCCTGGAGTTTTAGGAGTCACTTGCCATGGGTTCAAACCTCACGTTCTGTGGTTTAATTCTTTACGTCTTTGGCAGTATGGCAAAGGGCACTGTCTTCCTTACAAAGTTGCCCAGGCACTTCTCAACTGTCAGGCAAATAGTCTGATCAAAGTTTACTTATGCACGTACATATTTATGATGTCTACTATGTCTACTGTATATCAATCATTCATCAGTTGCTGACTCAGTAAGGATGGGCTTTACTTTTCTATTAGCCATATGATATTTCATAACTTCTGGAGCTTATTTTCTCCTATTAGTAATTACTGTATTCATTTACTCAAACTACTACATAATTTGAAATTAATTTTGCTATAGTGTATTTTAAATTAAATTTCAAAGTCTTGGTAAATACTATGCCACTACAATTCTTTCTATAGTTACACTCACCTCCTGTCTCTTAGCATCCAGAGCCACAAGAGAAACAAAACAGGTCACTTGGAGGATGAAGTCAATAGTCAGAGCCATTCCAGCATAAAGGGCAAAGGCATGTACAGCTGGCATGCCTGACAGTGCTCCTATAAATATTCAAAATAAAGATCATTAATGTGTATACTATATTATAATTATCTGTCACCTCCTGGGAGTGTTTAACACCTAAAATGCTCACAGTTTAAGAGTTAAACAGTAAATGTTTATAATAATGAAACTCTTGGCAAGATTAAATACATTATAATTACAATGCAACAGGACTAACTTGGAAAATTCAGTAAAGATTGAAATAGCATAAGCTCACTAAGATAAATTCCTGAAAATATATAACAAAACTTAATAATTTCAGGACCTTCACATAGGCCAAAGTTTTCAACAATGTGCTATTAGAAAACTGGCAAGTACCTAAGAAGAAGCAAGCAGCCTCTGAGCAAGATGCAAGCAGAATGGTTGGTGCCACTTGTCCAACAATGCGACCAATATGTTCTGATCGGGATTCTGTGGGACGACGAGACTCTCGCTGGTATGTCTGAACCAAGATGAACATGTTGTCTACTCCAACAGCCAAAACTAAGAAGGGGATTACCTGAAAATGCAAGAAATTTTTCTTTTTTTAACACAGTGGCAATTCCCAATGAGGCAGTGTGACCTGAGAAAGAATGTTCATAATCATTTACTCCATCACTGTCTTGCCAGAGGCAATATATTTAATATTAAACAAAATTTAATTACCATTTACAACAAAACCATGTCTAGCTGGCAATAAGTATTCACAAGTAGTAAATAACTTTCTGAAATACAGACTTCAAACATCACTAATAACAAAAATAATGAAATAAAAGAGTAAAAAGGCACAATACAGTGATGGAAACAATACACAAATAACTTTCACAAAGAAGAAACTGATGAGAGCATTTCAGATGACTAGTTAATGGTCAAAGTCAGACCAAAACTTCTTAAGTTTCAAGTCTCCTGTGTGTGGGTTATTTGTGTAATTAAATAAAAATTAATGGGATTACTTAAAATTTTAAATCTTACATCATTAGGCAGTTAGCAAACATGCATTAACTTACTTCAATGATGATAAGCGTAGCAGGAATTCCAATGTAGCCGTAAATGCCAACAGATGATGAGACAGACACGAGTACAATAAGAACACCACCGAGGCCAAGAGTGATCTTCGAGTCCACTAGTAATCGGCTGCAGCGAGTAAACTCCCCAAGTGCTGACAGGAGGCATTACAAAGGCATGGTTATAAAAAATTAAAAAAAAAAAAAAAAAAAAAAAAAAAAAAAAAAAAAAAAAAAAAAAAAAAAAAAAAAAGGCACAATACCGTGACTTGAACGATACACAAATAACCTGCACATAAAAGAGAGAAGCTTACGACGACGTTTCGGTCCGACTTGGACTTTGTAAATGGTCCAAGTCAGACCGAAACGTCGTCGTAAGCTTCTCTTTTATGTGTGGGTTATTTGTGTAACCACCATAAAAGGTGACTTCAAGCTAAATAATTACTGAAAACTGAAAATCACTCTGATTGCTTCACTTGGGCATTTAATATCTGATGTCAACAAAACTACCAAAAGTTTGCTAAAGCTGGTTAAAATGTATGACGAATAAGGCTACAAACAAGGATGCAAATCATGCATAATACAATTTATGGAAATGATCACTTCATTCATAGCAGAAGCAGACAAATTAATATTCTTTAGGAAATGTTTGAAACATTACAAAATGTGGAATTACACAGCAAAGGAGATGTTTCAGGTAGATTTTGAGCATTAACTTCTTTAAAATAAAATATAACCTAAGCATAAAGCAAATATTTCTGGTCACCAATCTAATTGCTAATTTTATTAAATGCCTAAATCAATGAACACTGAATTTGCATAATAAGGCTAAGCCAATTCAACACCCTTATGCTCATTATAATTTTTTATAGCATGTCTATACACTTAATAACTCACAACTAATATATAAGAATCCATTTACAAATGGTGTGAGCTATGTTATCAACATTGTCTAGACACAATATTGGAGTCACTTCGTCAGTACATTCATATTCAAAGAACAGTGCTATTCATGATACAAAACACTAGTGATCTATCAGGCTCTCATTATTATATTAAAAAATACTAAACCTACATGAAGGTAAAGTCCTATTCCTACTCCCATAGTAATTGAAATTCAATACTCATTCTGTGCATATTTTTGTTCAATAATAGATATATGCACTTTCAAAGATCATTACTATGTACTATTACTAAGGGTACTATGTACTCACTATACTTCTGAACATATACTATACACTTATCTATTCAATTCTCAAACATAGAATTTGTGTATTGGTATCAATAGCTACAGGTATCTTAATTCAATCAACACAGCAAAGGTCTGAACTTAGAACACCAGCATTACTTGCTGCTTAATAAATTCACTCATTTCTTGTCTTGTGGACCTTACTCTAAGACTGAAGAAATATTTCCTGACATCCCTGTTTAACTTCCAGCTGTGTCCCCAAATATTCGTTTCTTGCCTTTCAAACAGCCTGCCCCTATCCACCCTGGTTCTTTTGGTCTTCAATATTATTATTATAATTTCCATTAGCCTGTCCTAGTAGTTCATACCCCTGAGCCCTGGAACAAGGATTGCTGCATACTTCTCCACTTTCTTCAGTTACTGAACACTTTTTTTTCATGTGTGACTTTCATATTAGTGCTGCATATTCGAAAATGGGCCTGACGCTTACTGCATAAAGGGTCCAGAATGGCTGTCAAGATTCCTGAAGGCTACTCTAAGATCTTTCAGTCAACCACTGGCTATAGAGGTTATTCAGCTGATGTGAACCTCTGGCAATACACCAGGCATTATGCTCAGCCCAAGTCTTTCTCTTTGAGTGAGGTCTGCAGCCTCTGTCCCTAGAATCTATAATTCCATGTCTGGTATTCTTGTCCCTTCCCCAATCTTCAGTGTCTGGCATTTCCTGGGGTGAATTCAAGCAACAACTTATTTGACCAATCTTGCAATTTGTCCAGATCTATTTATAGTCTCTAATGTTCTCATCTGTTTTTATTCTCCTCATTAGCTGTACATCAACAGTAAACAGGAGAGCATCTGATTCAATCCCATCTAGAATGTCATTCAAATAAAACAGAAACTGCTGCTCCTAACACCAATCCTTGAGGAGTAAAGCTAATTACTCTTCCCCATTCTGATATCGCTTCCCTGACAGTATCTTTACTGTTTCTTCTCCCTAATGTACTCTTTGCTCTGCACAACATTCCATTATCTTCAGCTTCTGCTCTAGCCTCTTGGAGTTTAAGAAAGTGCAATATACCCATCTCTCTCCTGTCGCACATCTATAACTTTATAACAAAACAGGTTGGTAAGACAAGATTTTCATCTCTGAACTCATGCTGGTTATTGGTCATGTCACCACTTCTCCAATTATTCTACCTTTTTCCTGATAATCTTCTCCATTATATTGTATGATATGCAAATCAGAGAAACAGTTCTATAGTTCAATACTACTTATCTGTTAACCTTCTTAAATGTGGGGACAACATTCGCTGTCTTCTAAATCTCTGGTAACTGTCTCATATACAATGAATTGTTGAAGATCTTGGCTAGTGGTTCAGACAGAGCTTCTGCTCCCCCCCCCCCCTCCTCCTCCTCCTCCTCTGGCAGGATCCATAGTGACGTCTTGTTAGGCCTTATGCTTTCTTGTACACCAAATAGCAGGGTAATATTTTGTGAAGGGATTCAAGGAAACTGGTTAGCCAGACTTGAGTCCTAGAGGTGGGAAGCACAGTGCCTGCGCTCTAAAGTGAGGTTTGGGATATTTGCTGTTTGGAAGGACATCTACGTAAATGCCTCTGGCAAGACAGTGAAATTGTGAATTATTGCGAGTTTTTTTATGGGGTCACCCTGCCTTGGTGGGACATGGCCGGCATGTTAAAAAAAATTACATACAGTAGGGCCCCACTTATACGGCAGGTTAAATTCCAGGCTACTGCCAGAAAGCAGACATCACTGGAAAGCAGAATGCCATTTTTTTCCACTTATAAATGCCAGGTAAAATGTTGAAACTAACATATATTACATTAGCAATAGAACTAGGCATTAACAACAATAAAAAGTAAAATACACACACAGTACACCCATTACTTACCTTAAAATATTTGTAGTCTTAATGCAGGGTGAGAGGCGAGTTTAATTTGTAGGAAGTCAGGTTTGGGAGGTATGGTGGCCAACCACGTCAGCCCACCCAACTCGCACTTAATATACTACATTTAGTTAAAGCTCCCCAGAGCGATAAAACACATACAGTACATTCATTAGTTTTTTTTTTTTTTAACAAGTCGGTCGTCTCCCACTGAGGCAGGGGTGATCCAAAAAGAAAGAAAATCCCCCCAAAAGAAAATACTTTCATTATCATTTAACACTTTCACCTCACTCACACATAATCACTGTTTTTGCAGAGGTGCTCAAATTACAACAGCTTAGAAGCATATATGTATAAAGATACAAAACATATCCCTCCAAACTGCCAATATCCCAACCCCCTCCTTTAAAAGTGCAGGCATTGTACTTCCCATTTCCAGGACCCAAGTCCGGCTATATAAAAATAACCGGTTTCCCCGAATCCCTTCACTAAATATTACCCTGCTCGCACTCCAATAGCTCGTCAGGTCCCAAATACCATTCGTCTCCATTCACTCCTATCTAACACGCTCACGCTCGCTTGCTGGAAGTCCAAGCCCCTCACCCACAAAACCTCCTTTACCCCCTCCCTCCAACATTTTCGAGGATAACCCCTACCCCGCCTTCCTTCCCTACAGATTTATAAGCTTTCCATGTCATTCTGTTTTGATCCACTCTCTAAATGAACAAACCACCTCAACAATCCCTCTTCGGTCCTCTGACTAATACTTTTTATTAACTCCACACCTTCTCCTAATTTCCACACTCCGAATTCTCTGCATAATACAGTGGACCCCCGCTTAACGATCACCTCCCAATGCGACCAATTATGTAAGTGTATTTATGTAAGTGCGTTTGTACGTGTTTGGGGGTCTGAAATGGACTAATCTACGTCACAATATTCCTTATGGGAACAAATTCGGTCAGTATTGGCACCTGAACATGCTTCTGGAATGAAAAAATATCGTTAACCGGGGGTCCACTGTATTTACACCACATGTTGCCCTTAAACAGGACATCTCCACCACTTCCTTGCTGCAGCATTTACAACCCAAGCTTCACACCCATATAAGAGTGTTGGTACAGCTATACTTTCATACATTCCCTTCTTTGCCTCCATACATAATGTTTTTTTATTTTTTTATTTTTTATCACACTGGCCAATTCCCACCAAGGCAGGGTGGCCCAAAAAAGAAAAACTTTCACCATCATTCACTCCATCACTGTCTTGTCAGAAGGGTGCTTTACACTACAGTTTTTAAACTGCAACATTAACACCCCTCCTTCAGAGTGCAGGCACTGTACTTCCCATCTCCAGGACTCAAGTCTGGCCTGCCGGTTTCCCTGAACCCCTTCATAAATGTTACTTTGCTCACACTCCAACAGCACGTCAAGTATTAAAAACCATTTGTCTCCATTCACTCCTACCAAACAAGCTACCGCATGCCTGCTGGAAGTCCAAGCCCCTTGCACACAAAACCTCCTTTACCCCCTCCCTCCAACCTTTCCTAGGCCGACCCCTACCCCGCCTTCCTTCCACTACAGACTGATACACTCTTGAAGTCATTCTGTTTCGCTCCATTCTCTCTACATGTCCGAACCACCTCAACAACCCTTCCTCAGCCCTCTGGACAACAGTTTTGGTAATCCCGCACCTCCTCCTAACTTCCAAACTACGAATTCTCTGCATTATATTCACACCACACATTGCCCTCAGACATGACATCTCCACTGCCTCCAGCCTTCTCCTCGCTGCAACATTCATCACCCATGCTTCACACCCATATAAGAGCGGTGGTAAAACTATACTCTCATACATTCCCCTCTTTGCCTCCAAGGACAAAGTTCTTTGTCTCCACAGACTCCTAAGTGCACCACTCACCCTTTTCCCCTCATCAATTCTATGATTCACCTCATCTTTCATAGACCCATCCGCTGACACGTCCACTCCCAAATATCTGAATACATTCACCTCCTCCATACTCTCTCCCTCCAATCTGATATCCAATCTTTTATCACCTA